ATAAAAAAAAAAATTATATATATATATATATATATATATATATATATATATTTCATAAATTGGTTTATAGCTAATTATATTTTTCAACCCTGAACCCTCTCTCTTCTCAACCCTATGAGCTAGTGACTCATTTTTGGGTTCATAATGCAATTGAAATTTAATACAATATACACGTAACATAACTAGTATAATCAAAATAGTCTAGAAAAAAATTGTATTTTAAACGTTATTACATAGGGATAACTATCTTTATTAGATAACTAATTAAAATTATCAAAAACTTATTCATATACATATAGACATGTATGCAAATTCTTTCAAATTACTGTAATGTTTACCAAAATAAAAAGTATTGTAATGTATACTAATTAGATTCCACTTAACTGATATATAGTTGAATCCTTAAAATATAATGATCACAACTCATTTCTTCGGTGTTATTATGTCTAAGAATAGTCACATTTTAGCATAAAATCTATGGAAACCAAACATTGGAAAATTCAAATAAGAGAGACTTTTGAAATCTTACTAAGTAAAACAATTTTTCAAGGGACATTTGGGCTAAGCCAACCATTTGGAACATTGATATCTCCTAATGTTAACTTATGGCCATAAACTAAATGTGGTTTTGCATGGCATCACATTAGTCTCTAGACCATGGACATGATTCATAATTGTTTGTTTTCTGTGAGTCACAGTTACTCCTCCATTTTTAACATTAGGGGTCACTTCTTGGACTTGACTAATATTATTTTTCCTTTCTATTTCCCCCAAGTTTTGCTCAATCAAGCGTGAGATATTATTTAGATCATTCATGTTGGCATTGTTGAAAATGTGCCCAGCATTGAGGTATTGGAACATGAGAAGGGTCGTCTCTTTTTTCTTAATTCCATTACTTAGTTTCTTCAATTGGGCCTGAGCTTTGACTATCTTCTCACTCAAAAAGCTCTCTTGACTCAACATTTTTTTGCTTTGTTCCAATTCAGACACTTGCCTAAACCTAGAAAGCACATTTTGGACTCCTTGGTCAGATGGACAAACCTCTAGCTGAGGATCATCTGGAGTATAAATTATAGCGCATGCTTCAATCCCACAAAGAATACCAATTTCATCAATCTTCTTGATCAAGCCTATGAGAAACATAACAAAATCAATAAAGAGAATTAAGAGAAAATGAGAAATGGCAAGATATTCAAATTTTATTAAATAAAAATATGCATGTTACAAGGCTCTAATAAAACATTGTTGAAATGAATTAAAGAGAAACCATTCTCAAACCATTTTTCCTTTTCTTTAAAGTTGCTCTTCTCTTCGAGTCATTGGTTATGTATGTAAGGTCTACCTTCTTTCGAGCCATGATAGTAATAAAATATAAGAGAAAGAAAAGAGTCAGAAGGAAATTCAGAAAATGTTATAATTTGATGTGTGTTCTCATCCTTGATGCTTTTCTATTTATATAAAAAAATAATGCTAGGGACATTTATTGTAGAATCTCATATCTAGATTGGGCTCGCTTGCATTTTCTTATCACACATGTATAGAGGTGAAAAATGAATCTATTTATCCATCATCTATCCAATCCATTCATAAGTAAATTTATCCAATCTATCTATTACAATAAAAAAAAATAATGGGAAATCCATTTATTTAATTTTATGGATGGTTATTGATTCATCCACTAGTTTTTCAAAAGTCATTGGATTAAAATATGAGATTTTTATTGAATTAAGATTTTAAAATGTTATTTTGACATAAAAAAGTCTTGTGAATTTTGAAAGATTATAAAAGAATATAATGACTTATAAAGAAAAAAAGAGAGAAATAAAATATTTCAAAAATAAAAATTATTTAATTTTTAAATCATTATTTTTATGGATGGATATTGGATATTCATCTATATATATATAAAAAAATTTGTTAATGGATGAATTCGATGATTCTTTTTGCTTTAAATGAATTTGATGAATTAATTTTTTATGTGAATTTTTAGTCACACACAAACACACTCATAAATTAATTGACATGAGATTTTATCTATGAAAGATACTAGTTATTTCCATCAAAGGAATATGTGCAAGAGGATAATGTTGATATTCAAGTTAATTTTATCCTTAATTTTTTATATTTATCCATTTAAAAAGATAATATAAAAATTTAAAATATAATTCATATCCTTGCTAAAATTAGTGTTTTGACTTTTTCTTACGACTTTCACACTAATGTTTCTCATTTACATTAAATATAAATTATTTATGAATTAGGTAAATATAAGTACATAGTTGAAAAGATAATAATCAATTTTATGTTGAATTACTCCCTAAGTCCCTATATATAAGTACATAATTCAAAAAACAATAACTACTGATTGTATTAATATTTATCAATTGGTTCGTGTATTGTAAAAAAAAAAATCTGTTTATATTTTTGGAAACACTTAAATTTGGTTCTTATAGAAGGGGAAAAAAGTATTAGTCTTTTGAACTAAAATTAGGATATTTTTAAAAACTATCATTGATCCTATTGGGTATTGCATCGCACATAATTGGTATGGATCAAATTCTATCTCATAAGGATGCAAATTTAAATTCTATTGTGGATGTGAGTACCTAAGCATGCTTTAACTATATTGACTTGTGAGCTCTCAAAATCTAACTAATAACCAAAATTTCCCATAATCAAAAATTGAATATATTGAATATTGATTTCATTTTCTTGATTGTTTTCTTTTTATTTTTCTTTGGTTGCACAAAGGTATACTTTTTCAAATGCAATCATATTCTAGGAATGGTCAAACACAAAACGTGAGTACTTCTAACAAAGAATCAAATCTTAATTCAATCACAGGTTTGTATTTAATTAATTGTGTTATATTTTGGCAGATAATTTTAATTTGTTTATTGTAATAATATTAACTATTGAATATATTAATTTTTAGGGCGTGCATTAACTTTTTTCTCTAATTTACTTAATACAATTCTATTCAAACAATTAATAAATATAATTTTTATTAGATTATTATTTTAAACATCAGTTGACCGTGCTCCAAAAATTTAATTATTACTAATTTAATACAAAATAATAAATATTTAATAATTTGGTAAATATAATTTGTGTTAATTACATTATTATTGGGAGTTTTGAAATAGGAAATTCAACCATTGACCACTAATGAGATAGTTGAGGTGTGTTTTGGCTTTTTCCCATAAATATCATGAAAAGGAGTGTTAATTAACAATTTTCTTCTAAAAAATTATTATTATTATTATCATTATCATGTTTTGTATGGAATTTTTTTTATAGAAATAATAAAGTAAGGGATACTCTAACCTTTCTTCAAAAAAGGTACTAAATCCTCCATAAAATAGTCTTTTAAAAAATCGTATCAAAAGGATAAATATAAAAAGGCTAAATGATCAATATACCAATCAAGAAATTTTTTTTTTGAAAATTTCATGTGGCCTTATACTATTTATGATTTAACATTTCTTCTAACACCGTTTTAAGTATAGAAAGAAACCCACTGAAAGACAAAATTTGTATCATCCTCGTTTTTAATTAAGCAATTGACTTTTATATTCTATTTATTTGTAAACAACTCGAATGGAATATCAAAATTGTAAGGCATACAATTTAACTCACAATAGTGAGAGCTATCACCAGTAAATTTTAATTGTCAATACAGAAATTTTAAAAACAATTAAAAATTCTGATAATACGAAAATGATTAAAATTGATATTCTTAGACTTAAAAATGTATTTGGAATAATAAGTTATAATTTTAGAACTTTTCTAGAAATTTATCATATTTTTACATAAAATGACCAAAATATCTTGATTGAATGGTCATTTGGATCGGTATAAGTTCTATAAAAATTACCTAATAATATTTTAAATAATTTTTTTACAACAAGATAAATTAGAATTCAAAAGTTCATATTAAATGGATTTACTTTGCCAAAATACATTAAAAATAATTGTTCAATAACTTTATCATCATCTGAAATAAAAAGACTATTTATTATGAATTGAAATAAATCAGCCTACTATTTATATAATAGTTGGAATAATATGCACAAATTTTTAAGTTTAAATTCTTTAGTATAATTTTTATATATAAAAAATTATGAGTTGAAATTTTAACACATAATTAGGAAATAGATCAGACATTAAATTGGAAATTTATGATTTGATCTATTTACAATTTGACATGACATATTAAATTAAAAATTAGGTTTAGATTTTTTTAAAAAAATTATTTATTTTAAAAGGATAGATTTAGGTTTATAAAAAAAGTTTTTTAAACTTAATAGGTAAACCTATTTATTTATATGATATAATAAAAAAAATAATATACATATTACCTTATTAATAATATAATTAATTAAATATATTCATAATACAAAAATTAAATTATTAATATTTTTTTACATTTCAACTACATTTAAAAGTTTTACATTTCATGTTCAGACAAAATCAAGAAATAAAAATAAAAAATCTAGCGGCCACATTTTTGTCTGTTCTTTTCTTTCATTTTCATGGTTGATTATTTATAATATTCCAAATAAGATATAGGGATATTGTCTTTATTCATCATACCTATGCATGAATGTAATTAATTAATGTAGATGAGTATATACATGAGTTGTCCCTCTTACGTTAGTTTAATGTTTGTTTTAAACTCTAAAATTTTAATAATAACATAATAAACTATTTTTATCACTTAAATTAAAAGAAGACTTGTATATTTAAAAATAAATTTTTTGACCTATTAAAATTAAATATATTAACTTATTTAACATTATTAATTTAAAGCAAACTTTTAAATAAATTAATAAGTCAAAACAGATTTATTAAAAATGTCTATAATAAATAATCACGACACCAAAATTAATTTTTTGTGGCAATTAATTTATTTTTTAGTAGCCATATAAATGACCATTATTTTTTTTACTAACATTTAAATAATGGCTGGTGTATCCAGTGTCACTAATACGTTTATTACCGGCATTTATATAAAATGCTGGTAAAGACCTACTTATTGAGTTGAGTTGCACTGATTGAGTTAATCATGTTGTTTAAGTTGTTGAGATGAGCTGTGCTGTTGAGTTGATCATGTTGTTTAAGTTATTGAGCTGAGCTGTGATGTTGAGTTGATCATGTTGTTTAAGTTATTGAGTTGAGTTGTGCTGATTGAGTTAATCATGTTGTTTAAGTTCTTGAGCTAAGCTGTGTTGTTGAGTTGATCATTTTGTTTAAGTTATTGAGTTGAGTTGTGTTGATTGAGTTAATCATGCTGTTTAAGTTGTTGAGCTGAGTTGTGTTGTTGAGTTGATCATGTTGTCTAAGTTGTTGAGCTGAGCTGTGTTGTTGAATTGTAAGCTGATTAAGCTGTGATGATGAACTATTGATGACTAGGATTAGGGGAGATGTTTTCGAAGTTGCTCATCTCATTGTGTTGATTGAGAAAGTTGTGGTGCTTAGAGAGCCCAATTTGTTGAAAACCCTCATTGGGAAGTTGTCCTTAGAGTGGACGTTGTGTTTTTCTCCTCTAGGACTTAGTTGGTCCTGTGTGTGGGCAAGGTCGAGGTACACGTGTACAAAGCGACCACGTATAGGGGCCAGGTCAAGCTATACTGATTACAAAGCGGCCAATTTGAGTAAAGTACGAAGTCGGGAACTTAATTCCTAACCGAGTATCGGAGGGTTGTAGTATTTGGAGGATAGTCGGTAGGCTAATCCCATAGATGGCTTAGTTGAGCTAGCTAATGCCGTGGTAAGCCTAAACCCAGTTGTTCTATCCTAACATAGTACTATACTTCCTTGTTTAAGTGGCAAAGTCTGAGAAATCGTTATCGTGCTGTGGATTGGCATCCAAATTTGTTGTTTACCTAGCAAGCCCAAAAAGGTTCTTTGCTATCGGTTCGTTAGGACCTAGCCACTTAAACTGCTCACCCTGTTGTAGGAGATCTCCGAGTTGAAATGCGTAACGACGCATAATCTGTTGATGTTTTTAATTGATGTTGATATGAGTTGTATATATGTTGTTCTGTTGTTAAGCTGTGATTGTGTTGTATGTTGACCCTGTTGAGGATGATGATAGTGTTGTTATGTTGTGAGTTGCTTATTTGTATACAAGTTGATGATGATGCTAGCGTTGCTAGATTACCTGTGTTGTAAGTTGCTTTTAAACATGTGTTGTTGAGAGGTGTGCAATACATGTTTTGGTTGCTGTTATGATGAATATGGTAACTATTCCAATGGTTTGTATAGTAGTTGCGTTGAAGTGTTGATACAGTGTTGATATGTTGAATCAAGTTGAAATGATGTTAAGATGTATAGTATATGTGTTGTTGTCTT